CCTCTGCTCCCCTCCCGGCCACAGGCTCTGGGGTGGAGGATGGCCCTGGGGTTTGGCCCCCCGCAACCCCCCCGAGCCCAGCCCCTCTGTGCCTGCAGGAGTCATCAGCCTGCCCTACGCAGAGATCAGGGAGCCCTTCGAAGCCTGGTACAACCTCACCGGGGGAAAGAGCCGCATCGAGTACTACGGCGGTGGGTGCAGAACGGGGTCCATCCCCCCGACCCTTTATCATCCCCCTCCTTCTGCCCCAGCACCTTCGGGCACCTCAAAAAAATGCCCTGGGAGCCATCACCATGCCAGGACCCTGGGGCTTGGCTTGACCTTAGCCCTGTCGCCGTTTCCAGGCCAAGTGGTCACCTACCAGTTTGGCTCCATCGAACCCTTCGGCGCCAGCTTCAAGGTGACGCCCGAGACCACGGAGACGGAGGTCAACGTCCGCAAGTGCTTCCGCATCAACGGCACCGACGGGGACCTCATCGCCCCGCAGAGCGTCTTCCCCAGCCTGGAGAACTTCAAGGTGAGCCCTCGGCATGGTCCTCTAGGATGTGGGATGGGGTAAGGGAGGGGACAAGGGACCCCCGTGGGTACAGGGTGTCTGACAGCACCCTGCGAGGGCAGAGCAGCCTTCCCTGGCTGGGAACGGGTGGATACAAGGGTAGGGGTGATAGCGGCGAAGGGGTTGCCTCCAGCGCGGCACCACGCAGGATGGGACGCCATCACCGCGGGGCGCCCCGGCTCACCGGGGACGCGGTGCCGGTGTGGCACCCCCGGTCCCCGACGCGTGCGCTGTGCCCAGCGGGTGCGGGAGGAGCGCTTCCGCGGGCAGCGCTGCGCCGTCTGGCAGAACGTCTCCTACTGGGGGCCCAAGAAGAACGTCTACACGCTGCGGGTGGGCAGCTCGGCCCACGGCCCCGTGCCCCTCCACTACGAGGTGCACGGCTTCAACAGCCTCCTGGGCTCCCACTACGACAAGTACGAGATCGACTACTCCTCCTTCAGCCACCGCTTCCCCCCTGGCGTCTTCCACCTCCCCGAGGGTGAGCGTCCCAGCACCCCTTCCACCTATTTAATCGGGGTTTTTTTGGGGGTTGTTTTGGGTTTTTTTTTGCAAGAGCCTGATAATTTGGGTGAATCGGTTTGGCTGGCATAAAAGCAGGGGAGAAAAGTAGTTAATATTGCTAGCTGGAGCAATGCAGGTGCTTTCTCAGCGCTGGCTCCTCCGTGCCAGAGCACTGGGTGCTGGGAGGGATAGTGGGTGCTCAGGAGCCAGCTCTGGGGTGGGTGCGGGTCCCCCCTGCACGCACGTGTCTCTACGGGATGGATAACCCCGGTGGTTTTTGGGGGTGACCATGCCGTGCGGCCCAGCTGGGGGCTGGGAGAGCTCGTCCCAGCTCAGGAGGCACCAGTCACCGCCCGTGCCTCGTGGCAGGGGTGCAGAGCAGTGGCCCGCGGCCGGCCCCGAGCACCGCATCGTGGCCAACCCCATGCAAGAGTTTGTGGGGAGGGCACGGGAGACAGCCCACGTCCACCACCGCCTCTTCCACCGCTACAAGGAACGGTTCGGGAAGAGCTACGGCAGCGAGGAGGAGCACGAGCACCGCAAGCACACCTTCATCCACAACATGCGGTACGGGATGCCGGGGGAAAGGGTGCAGAGGGGTGGGGTGGCCGCTGCAGCGTGTCCCCCCGCTCCCTTCTGGCAGCGTCTCTGCTCGGCGGCAGGTTCGTGCACTCGAGGAACCGCGCCGCGCTCTCCTACACGCTGGCCTTGAACCACTTGGCCGACCGCACGCCCCAGGAGCTGGCC